CAACTCATGCTTTCTTTGAAAAATAAAGGATGTTAACAAGAGCACAGGAGTAGTTTTGTCATTTTTTTAAAATTTATTATTTTCAAGGTATATGTTATTATAGACAAAGCACCCTATCCAAGTCTCCTCACACAATTAATATACAATCAAATTCGGTGTATCTTTCAAAGCTATCTACTAACAGAGTGAAATTTCTCTTTGTAAACTATAAGATTTGGGATATATCTTGATTTAATCTTCAGTTGCTATTCAAAAATTCTCTGATCTTATTTGTTTTTCACACATTATATCTCTTAAAATTAAATACGTTAAAATACCCTCAGGAAATTATGTTTCAGTTCACTTCTAGCATTTTAAGTTTTATATTTCAATGTTAATATTATCCATTGCATGAGGTTTATAGCTATCACATCATCTTTGCCATCTTATCATAAACTACTTAGTGGTTGTGCCATATTATTATAATCTATTTCATGGTTTTTGCTTTGACTTATAGTTGGTCTGAAATTAAATCAAGAACTCTGCTTTCCTTTTACTTCTGTTTTTCTTTCAAATCTTTGCCTGTTCATGTTTATAACTTTCTGTTTGGTTAAGACATATATTTAGGAGCTCTGATGGCTAAATGCCTAAGGCATATGACTGTTAACCAGAAGGCTGGCATTATATGTAGACACTATTTAAGTTAACTGAGTATTTCTGTGTTCTTATAGGGAAATTTAAAAAATTTTCATTTGTTGACATAACTAATGGGGGCATAGTCTAGAGGAAAAAGTTCACGGACTTTTTGAATCCAAACATACAACTCTAAAACCTAACATTTGTTGTTGTTGTTAGGTGCTGTCGAGTCAGCTCTGACTAACAGTGACCCTATACACAACAGAATGAAACACTGCTTGGTCTTGCACAGGCTCACAATCCTTGCTATACCTGAGCCCATCATTGTAAAACATAACCATTAGCAATAATATATGACAAGCCAAAACAAAACACAACAAAAAACTCACTGCCATCAAGTCAGACACATAATGACCCCTCCTTGGGTTTCTGAGGCAGTATCACTACGTAAGTAGATTGCCCAATCTTCCTTTTGAGGAGTGGCATGTGGATTTTAACCACCAGCCTTCTGGTGAGCAGTCAAATGCCTTAGGCACTATGCCACCAAATATGCATTCAATAAAAGGTCTAAGTCACTATACATTTTCTTAGGTTTCCTTCATTTTCTATCTTTTAGTCTAAAGACAAAGTTTTCTTTACTTACAATTTTCTAATTGTTTTGACATTCCTTTCTTATTAATTTTGGTTCTACTAATTGACAGCTTTTTAAAAGAAAATAATCTTTGATCTATATTTCCCTAATTAAAGTTTAGGATTAAATAGTGCTTTCTCTTTGTAAATGTCACTTCTTTGTAACACACTTGAGGATGCCACACAATTTGAAACTTTTGTTCCTGCTGCAATATTAAAGAAATTTTCAGAGGCATGAGTGTCCTCTGAATCTACAGGATAATGCTGCACTTTTCTTGTCAAGTGTTTTTGCCCCCCCATAAACCCCATGTTGGTTTTTTTCTTGTTTATTCATATATAAGTGAAGAGAGATCTATTTGAACTTAGTGTCTGCCAACAATGTATGGATTTTCTTTGAACTCTCTTTTATTTCCATTAAAGACCTCGGATGGTGCAATGACTAAGACATTTGACTGCTAACCAAAAGGCTGGCAGCTCAAACCCACCAGCTGCTCCGCAGAAGAGAAATGGGGCAATCTACTTCTGTAAAGATTTATTGCCTTGGAAACCCAATGAGTGTTGCTAATGGTAGTGAGGTTTTGTTTTTGTTTCAATTATTTCCACTTGTACCTGGGCAGAACTCTTTTCCTTAATCAACTCAGGAGGCAAGTAAATGGGCAATTTCTTGGCATCTACTTCAACTTTCAATGTCTAGTAGACATCGACTGGCAGGTTATCTTTTTGACTGAGGTGGAAGTGTATTTACTTTTCCTACTCCTTGGCTCTCTAGAGTTAAGTAATGAGTAACATGAAAAACGACAGTCCCCTGCATATAGCCTTGCCAGGATTCTCCCAGAATCTGCATCTATACACAAACCTTGATATCCTCCCCCCAGGAAATCACGGCCAACTTTTGTTCTAGTGTCTGAACGTACACTTTGGGAGCTGTGGTTGCTGAGGAGATACTAGACAAATCCAGAATAGTAGAGTTCTTGGTAGAGATCTTGTGCCTCTGAGCCAAGAAGCTGTGAAAAGTAGGGATTTAAAGCCTCCCTCTACCTTGAAAGTTTCTCTGCTGTAAAAAGCAAAGCATAAGCAAG